ACGCTCTTTCCGCGCATACCTGTGCCCATCCAGAAGCAGATCGAGAAGAAAATTGAGCAATATTGCCGGGAGCAGGGCATCACGGTTAATCAGCTGAGCACGGGTCGGGGCTCGGCTGCACCGGCGACGTCGGCGCCCGGCGCCATCGCAGCCGTTTCGACTGGCTGCGATGATTACGAGGGCAGCGGCAGTGCGAGTGGCCGTGCCGGCAGCCATGCCGTGGCACGTTCCGGCGGCGGCGGCGGCAGCGGTGGCGGCTATCCGCCAACAAACTATCGCAATGATCACGACGATCGCGACTATTATGCAGCTCAGGCCTCTGGGTCGGCGTACGGACGCGCCAGGGGCTACGACGACTACCCACCGCCAACGCCAATGTCGTCGATGCTGCCGTACGGCAGCTCCGAGCGGGAAAAGGACTATGGCGAGCGCGGCGAGCGTCGTCGCAGCAGCAAACACAAGAAGAAGCACAAGCATAGGCAATACTCGCGCAGTCGCAGCCGCAGCCGCAGCAAGACACGCAGCGCCAGCCGTGGCCATCATCGGCACGAACGGAAGCGCGAGGAGCGCGGCAGCAGGCACAGGCACAACGACGAACGGGAGCGAGAGCGGGAGCGGGAAAGAGAGCGCGAACGGGAGCGGGAACGACGCTATCGGTGAACCTGACGCAGCGTTTGTTTTCCTTCTTCTTTATTATTATTATTATTTTTTTTTTTTTTTTTAGTAAACTGAACATGTTTCTGTCTAGCACTTGATTTAGTATTTTTTGAAATACTTATTTTTTTATTTTCTATTTTCTGTAACTCCTCCTGCCCCCCCTCCCCTTCCCTCATCAAGCCCTTTTCATTGTGGTCCAGTCAAGTTCATGCAAGCCCCGCTATCAGCTGGACTCTTACTCAGGTTAAAACAGACACATCCATGCAAACACACACACACACACACAGTCACACTCACACACACACACTAATACATACACGAGCAAACGTGCATACAGACAAACAGCGTATGGCTATATTTTGTAATTCGTAACTCTTAAATATAAATGCTGATTGTACATTTTTCAAGTTGTGTTTTATGCTAAATAAAAAATAACATTTGTTTAAGCCCAACGTTTTCTAAATGCCGTCCGCTCAGAATTCTGAATAAAGTTTTTGACTGAAAACACAAACCCTTAACGTAATTTCGAATTTTTATATATGTTTGTCGAAGAAGCACTCAACAAAATATTGCATGCCACATTGACTCAATGTTAAATTTGACAATAGATTTAGCTAAAAGCCAACAACAGGTTAAAATACCGTTAAAAGCGCGTCACGCCTGAGTGTTGGCAACGCCTTGTCATTAAAAACTGGCAGCTCCGCGCCTGTAAGCTGGCAGCACTTTAACGCTATCCAAACTGCAAGGTGGCAACACTCTGGCTAAATAGCAAGTGTATGTTAAAATTAAATTTGGTTTGCCAGCATGTTTGAAGTAAATGTTAAATTTAACAGTAGCATGCGAGAAAACGAGCGTTAATCAAGCCGGGCCGACAGCAAATAAAAGTATTGTACACAGGCAAATACAATATAAAGTAAAAAAAACAAAAAAAATAGGCAACTCTGCGACAGGCAATTGACAGACGAGTGCGAAGTGTGCGTTCAATGAATTAATGTTAATATTTAACTAGCCAAAATGCGCGCCCAAAATAAACAAGATGTTCTGTGTGCGTCTGTGTGTGTATTTGTTTTTTCTTTTATTCTTGCTGCTGCGTACGTGAGCTTTAAAATATCTCTTATACATATACATACATGCATATGTATGTATGTGCGCACACAAACATGCAAGCATAGATGTGCATGTGTCTTATATTTTTATTTTTTTTTTGTATAAGTATGTGCGCATAAAAAGCAACAAAAACCAGCCTAAATTATTAACTAGCGGCGTTGAGTTAAGTCGAGCTGAGCGGAGCAGAGCAGAGCAGAGCTTAGACAGCGGGCAAGCCTCCGGCGGGCTTCGGTCGCGTCGCGCCGATCCGCCCCGTCGCGTCCCGCAACGCAGGCAGCTCCGCAAGCGATGTGTAAGAATTTGAGTCAGTTTCTGTTTAAGTCGGAACGAAAAAAATAAATAAAAAAGAAAAAAAGAAAACAGTTGCTTGCGCACAGTGAAACGCGAAACAAGCGCTGCCAACGTCGCCGCGTTCTCTTCTCCGGCTCAGTTGTCATCGTGCGCGTCAAACGTGTTGCCTTCGCGACAACCGTTACAAAAGCAAAAGGCAAAAAGCAAAAAATCAAAACGAAACGCAAAAACTCAAAAGAAAAAGCTGCAGGCCAAAAAGCTATAAGAGTTAAAATGTAATTTGCATGTGTTTCAAACAGCTGCTAAATTCAATATCTAAACACACACAGACACACACACAGACAGACAGACAGACACACATGCATACTCGCACACATTGAGAGGCTTTAAAGTGTTTGCAATTGATCAATGTCAGCCGCATGGGAAAATGCAATGAATGAAACTACCAGGGCTGCAGCAATTGTATAGCTTACCAACCGCAACCGCAAACAATTTATGCTAACATGCGTCTGCTGTCAAATAATGTTAATAACTACGCACCGATAACAGTTTGCCTAATTATAAGTTGTTAATATCGACGCTCTGAACGCATACACACTTACTTTTCTATTGGCGCATACGTGCCAGCCCTGGCAACGATAAACGCCGATCGCACAATGTGCGCGTGCGTGCGCGCGTCACTCACTTGCTTTGACCATTTTCGTGTGCGCACAGTGCGCAATGTGCAATAAACATAAAGCTAAGGCTAAAGTGTGAATTAGATACATATATATAATGTGTTTGTACATAATTGTGCCCCTCCTCCAATCGGTAATCTTTTGCGGCAACAGCCTTTAATTAAAAGTTAAATTCGGTCACTGGGCCAGCAGCAAGCACGACCCAAATACATGCATACATATATATGTATAAGAGAGAGGAGCACAGGAGCGTAAGAGAGAGGGAGAGAGCGCGCGCTTATAATCCTTCAATTTACTTGGTGCTTGCCACTTCGCCAATTGCATTGACGTAATGCAACTCGCCGTTCAAGCGAAACACAAACACATACATATGCACATAATTACTAATACACACAGTTTGGCGTCTATCGCAGGTGTGTAGCCTAAAGTGGTTTCCATTTCGCAACTAGACAACGGGACGTTGGCAGTCGGCGTCATATCAGCGTCAGCAGCAAACGTCAGCGTCTTGTCAAAAATTTGCACTTACTTGTTATGATTGTTGTAGCTGTTGTTGTTCTTGTTGTTGTTGTTCTATTTTAATTGTTTTTGTTATTTATGCCGCTTGATGGGGCGGCAATTTTGCAGTCAAGCATGCGCCGCTGCCAACGTCGACGCCGACGCCGCCCACCGGTTGCATGACTGATCGTGAGTGTTTAACACACACACACACACTTGCGCATACACATGCGCATGCATACATAAGTATGCAATGTATTTATGTTTGTATGTGCGCCCTTGTCTCTTTATCTCTCTCGCTCTCTCTCTCTCGTTCTCTCTTTTGCCTGTTCATTGGCCACTGGCCGCGGTCGCGTCTGCGTCTGACAATTATACGCGCGTCACGCTGTCGACGTCGGCCCCTGCGACTGACGTCATAGCCAGAACGGCGCGAACAAAGTGCGACGCCGCACAATGGGCCACCGTTCGTAAATAGCTGGTGAAATTGATATTGAGCTGACATTACCTGTCCATTAGCTGTTGGTTATCGATCATTGTCATCGCCCCGATTGGTCATTGGCAAAAGCTCTCTTTGCATTATTGCCTTATTCCGTTGTCCATCATTTGTTGTCATTTCAAATGATGCGCGTGACAAATTGGCAACATTTGCTTTTTTACGGCACAACTAATGCGTCTGGTTGAATCACAGCCGAATTCCATTGCACATTTAACATACGTTCCATTCGCACAGCTTTTCTCAGGGCCACATGTTCTGTTTGGGGTGTGTTATGTTCGTACGTATGCACATACATACATACATACGCATATGAATGGGTACATATGTGTCCATGCATGTATCTGTGATAACATACGTTAGTACCTACATTCATATGTGTTTGTTACTGATGAATTGCTTGTTATCAAAACATGCTACCATGGTAATCGCATATCGAGACGACTTGCAGATGCCCTACTCATGAAAGGATTCATTCGAAATATATATATATATATTTATTCGCATACCTAAAATCAAGAATCAAATTGAATTGAAACTGAATTCATAATAACTATTGTGAACGTCATTGTCCTAAAGTACATCCCAATAACTTTACAGACATGACATACCGTTTTAAGCGAGTATCAAAAATAAATACTCATAAAAAATGACAGTACATTTTTTTTTTATTTTATTTTTTATTTAGTTAGCTCTGATTGCAATATTATCATTTTAAGATATCATAAAAGCCAGCACAGTATTACTAATAAATCTTCTTGAATAACTTTTTAGTACTTCTCTTAAACTTATAATTAAAAATATTGAGTGGACGAAACATTTATTTTTACTATCAAAAATTTATTTAGCGCTCATTCCGATTGCACCAAATGACGCTTGAGACAACTGCAAACGTCATTTGACACATTCTCCGAATTGATGCTGGGCGCAATAATCAGAAAGTGGATGTGCGACCCACTGTGCGTCGGCATATGAGAGCACGACGTCTGTCAGTCTGTCAGTCGCTGTGCATGTATGTGTGTGTGTGTGTGTGTGTGTTTTTGTGCTTAAATGCAATTACGCGCTCAAGTTAAGAAAACTAGCAAAGCAATTGGAGCGCAGCAACAAAAATGAAATACGAGTATAAATAAATAAATAAGCAGCAATAAGTGTTTCGGTGTGCGAATGTGTGCGTGTGTGTGTACGTGCGGGATCATTGCACATTGCGTCAACGTTTCAAGATCACACACAATTCCAATTCCAATTCCAATTCTGCTTACAATTGCAGCCGCAGCCGCAGCCGCAGCAGCAGTAGCAGCAGCAGTAGCAGCAGTAGCAGCAGCGACAGCCGCAGCGGCCGCATCAAAACAGCCAGCGTCACTGAGAGCCGCAGCGGTCGCGGTCGCGTAAGCGGGCAATGAGCAACTACGAAAATTCAATAGAACTGGGTAAACGCCAGCAGCGACAGCGGCACCACCTTCTCCATCAGCAGCAGCAGCAGCAGCAGCAGCAGAAGCAGCAACATTATAACCAGCGTCACGCTGCGCGCCGTCGCAGTTGCCGTTGCCGTTGCCGTTGACGACGCCGTCGCCGTCGCTGTTGGCGTCGCTGTTGAAGACCGAGTTTATAGTCAGAGCGACAGTTAAGCGACGGCAGCGGCAGGTGTCATTTGAATTTCAAGTGCGCGGACGCGTAAAAATCTAAAACCGAGTTTAAAACGCACGCGACGCCGACGCCGACGCTGACGCGGACGCGACGTTGACAGCGATGAGTGCGCGCCGCGATGGTCAACAAAATGCCGATGTTGTCGCCGCCGTGTCCGTAACTAAAATCGTAACCGAAACCGAATCCGAAACCGAGTCAATGCTCAAGATAATGACAGCGACGCCGGCGTCAGCGACAACGACAGCGACAACGGCAACGACATCAGCGTCGACGGCGCTGACAACGGTTAACGCTCAAAATAAATGCGCGACGGCAGCGCCAACGACTTTTAGTTATCAGAGAGCAGCGAAGCGTTGCGCACGCCTCGAACAGACAACAGCGGCAGAATTGGCACCAGCATCGGCAATAGAAAAAGAACCAAAAGAAGCATTGGCAAAAGAGAGAGCAACAACAACAACAACTATTGCGTGTGTTATTCCATGTGAACGTCAGCTTCGTCTCGCTGAGCACAAGGCGCAATTGCGCGCAGCTTTCTTCCAGGATTTCAACGCAATCGCAGCGCAGCAGCAGCAGCAACAGCAACAGCAGCATCCAGTGAGAGAGCGAGAGAGCGAAAAAGCTTTTGATTCCAGGACGCGTATACGACAGCTGATTGAAAAGTTTCAGGCAATGATTGTACAGCAGCCAGCAGCAGAGCAGCCGCAGCTGAAGCCAGCTGTGATTGCGGGCAGCGCTGCCAATTCGGATGAGGGCTGCAATGCGGGCGGCTTGAGTCCCTGTAGCAGCGACAACGAATGCGATGCTGTCGCCCGCCGCAAGCCAAAGGTGACGCGTTGTGCGAGCAGCGACTCGGCGCTGGGCCTCGATGTTGATGATGTTACAATGGAAACACTGCCGACGCCGCAGCGACGCATGACGCTGACCGTTACCGATTTACCGTTGCGCCCGGCCCTGCTGCCACTGGCCGAGCCGACAGCGCTGCCCGATTCGCCGTTAACCTCGCCGACCAGCGCCACAGCTGCCCTCGGTCTGGGCGTGGGCGTGGGCGTGGGTGTGGGCGCCGGCGTGCCCACCAAAGTGCTGCTGGAGGAGCGTGTCGTTGCGGCGCTGGCAGCGCCGCCCGGCTCACGCCGCGAGTCCACGCAAAGCTGCGTCAGCGAGCTGGGCAGCATGGCGGGTGTACGGTATGTGCGAACGCCATCTGTGGTCGTGTCCGACTATTCGGATGATATAACCGCTTGCGGCATCAGCATGGAGGAGATGGAGTATTTTCGATTGCAGCGCGCACGCTGCCAGCGTCGCTGTTCGCTGGAAGCGAGTGCCGCTGCCGCCGGCAGCATCGGCGGCGCCAAGGATGAAGCTCAGTCGGATGTGAGCGCGGCGAGCAGCTGCAGCAATTTGTATTATTGCGGCTCAACAATTTCCGCCTTGGATGGCGGCGAGTGCATTGTTAACGGCATACGCGTTGCTCTCGCCCGCAAATCGAGTCACAGCAGCAGCGGCGAATTGAGCGGCGGCGACGACGAGGACATCGATGAACAGTTGCAATTGGAGCAGCAGCAGCAGCAGCGCCAGCTCGAACGGGAAAGAGAGCGACAGCTGAGCGAGCTTTTGGCTGCCACGCAGCTCAGCGATGGCACTAAGAAGGTAGGCAGCAGCAAGCAGCGCTGCAGCAACGACGGCGACGATGGCAGCGACGGCAGCGTCACAATTATGGCAAATCTCAATTAAGTTTAAAAGCCACACAACGTAGGTTGCGCAGAGGGGCAGGGGGTGCTGGGGGCTGGCCACGCAATTGGCCGTTGGGGAGTGCGGGGGGGGGGTGGGGGTGGGGGATGGGGAACGGTTCGTGTGTGCTCTGTGTATTATGTTTTTTGTTGTTGTTTAAATTTAGCATTGCTATCGTATTCTTATATAAGTGCACTACATACATACTTATATATATATATATATTTATATATATATGTGAATTTATTTTTTTTTTTTTTTATGATATAGAGAAAGAGTTCGAGATATTAGAGTTAGAGAAGTGGGGCGTAAGTGTGTGTGCGGGTAATTAATTTGGCGTTTATCTTATCGCCATGCGAGAGATTCCATTGCCGCGGAACGTACAACGGGTGGGTTTTTTTTTGTTGTTTTTTTTTGTTGTGTGTGTGTGTTTGTTTTTTTTTTTTTGTATCTTATGACTCGACGCCGACAAATGATGATGTTGAAATTGGGTGCGCTGATAAAAGTTGTGGCACCGACTTCACAGATATATATATATATATATGCACATATAACAGTGTCTTATCACAACACACACACGCACACACACACACACGCACAACAACAACAACGACGGACGCTTATCTTAGTGATTAACTCTGTATATTTTAGTATTATAGATATATACGCCTATATGTGTATTATTTCTCCTATATGCCTTTAATGTCTCTTATATACATATATACTACTTATATAAAAACAAGACAGACAGACAGACAGACAGACAGACAACAACAACAACAACAGCAAGAACTATTGCTATTTCTTAAGTCAACAAAAAAGCAAACTTGGATATATAAACTATATGTAATAAAAACCAAATATCATAATATAAATATTTGACAAACCTTACGCATGTATGCATAGCTACATATATATGTTCGTATAGCTAACATATATATATGTATATATACTATCTGGCTTATCTGGGCTTTACTCTATATCTATATCTTTATCTATGTGAATGGCATTTTTTATTTGCTGCCCCTCCAGACGATCGAGCATTGTGCGTGTCTGCAGGTTATTCTTCTGTTTTTTTTTTTTTATGGTTCACAATAGTCATATAGTTCAAGAACACCTGTTAGTATCTGTATTATGTGTGCTTTAATGCACCAGGGTTGCTCTAGGCATAAGAAAGGACTCGCTCATAAATTGGAAAGTTTCGACTATAGAGCTGATTACGTTTTGGGAATCAAGAAAACTATAAGAGAATTAATATACTATATTTCAAATTTCATGTATTCTTCAGAAAATCAAAAACTCTCAAGAAATAAGTATTTAGAGTATATTTGAGCATAATATGCAAGTCGAACAAAAGTTTTCCCTTGCTCTGGTGTGCAGCGTACTAGCTTTAAGCTAGGCCCATTTGGCAAATAAGTATATCAATTTGTACGTGCATAAGCCATGTTTTTAGAAATTTCAACTTGCTCACGAATTCGCATCAGGAATTCGGCCTAATTTCATGTAGCTCCCAAAAAATCAAATATTATTAATTAATGTCTTTGTGTGAGCACAATTTGTACTTATATGCAATATTTTAAAGACGCACTTGTTGCTAATTTCGGCTTAGAAGAGATTTCAAGTCGAGCAAAGTTGCTGGTTCGAATTCCCAGAACAAAAATATTGAGCTTTGTGGACCAATTAATTGGATACATAGATAAAAACGCGCCTTTTCCACAATTTGGCATTGAAAATATTTCAAGTTGAGTTTTCTTAGTGGGCAAAAGTCTTGAAAATTAGCAAAGTTGCTGGTTCGAATCCCCAGCATATCGTGAGTAGTCATGTTTATGTAAGCAGGGTAAATTGCTTGGGTAAGGTTGAGCCAATTTGTAGATAGATGAGTTCTTAGGCTCTATAGAACTTTTGGGGATAAACCTAATTTCATTTTAAAGTTCATATAGGCATCATCCTAGTCTATATATATATATGTATATATCTATTCTTTACGCTCAGAGAAATAATGTACATTTCTAGACCATAATATATATGCCTAAAGCTGGCGTATTCCAAATGCAAATGACATATAATTGGATATGCATTGAATATACCCGTCCATATATATTTGAACTAGACACTTGATTTTTTTAATTAAGTTCCACATCTTAGTTTTATGGCAGATGCTGCGCGGTCTGATGGGTAATAGCTCCGCGGGGAGATATGACGTTCCAAAACGACATAACTCCAGGCGGTATGATGGGTAATGGCTCCGCGGGGAGATATGACGTTCCAAAACGACATAACTCCCTCCGCTCGGATGGAAATAGTTCCGCGGGGAGATATGACGTTCCAAAACGACATAACTCCAGGCGGTATGATGGGTAATAGCTCCGCGGGGAGATATGACGTTTCAAAACGACATAACTCCCTCCGCTCGGATGGAAATAGCTCCGCGGGGAGATATGACGTTCCAAAACGACATAGCTCCGCGCGGTATGATGGATAATAGCTCCGCGGGGAGATAGCTGTGCCTGTAAATGTACTCATAAGCAAGCAAGTATTATGAATGTACTCATTAGCAAGCAAGTATTATGAATGTACTCATTAGCAAGCAAGTATATATGAGTACATTCATCGGGGCGCATATCTTAAAGCTGAACTAGTTTCGCTTATCATCCGCACAAGCCAATGCCATATGTATATATATATATATATATATATATATATATATATATATATATATTTTCATTGCCTTTCATTCCTTTGCCTTTGCCAGCATTCGTATAATTCATTCAAATTCGGCGGATTGCGCCTCATTCAGTTGGATATACGATATGCGAGGCATATCTACGTCATGGTTATTTTTATAATACGTAATAAGTATAATAGTTGCATATGACTTGAAAAGCGACTTGACTGGAGGCTAACATTCTGTTATTCTGATTAATCGGAGCTCTTTAAATAGAAGATTATATGCCGAAAACTTTGTCAACTGTTCAAGAAGTTTTACGGCGAAAGCGAATTGAAATATTTATTTCTTCTACAAATAGACGTTACCATGGAATTGTCCCAGATCAGTATATCTATCAACTCTGTGTTTATCTTTTATCTTTATCTTGTTTTATTTTTTATCCAGCTTATTTATTGTCTTTTGATATCAGTGTGTGGTATTCCGTGGATCCACATTTCCTGGTAAACCAACCAACCAACGAACTAGCTATATATGTACTATATATGTATGGGGAGGAGCAGGCGGGGGAGTGCGAGTGAGAGGGGGCGTTTGGAGCATCTGTTTTGCATTCCCATTTTGGAGATGCCTGTCCAGCCTGTCTGTCTCGCCCGCTGCCCTGTCCGCCTCTCCGCCTGTCTGCCACCTTGCCACGCGAGATTGCGGCGTGGGCTACGTGAAGCAGTCAGAACGTTGATTACTTTAGATAAAGATCCCCCTCTCTTCCCCCCTCTGTGTGTGTGTGTGTGTGTGGGTGTCAAGGCAGCGCGCGCTGTGACGTCACTGGGCTCCATTTTGCTTATGACTTGCGGCTCCAGTCGCGGTCATTAATAATGGCAAATCTTGGGTCTGAGTTGCCGCGGCCGCCGAGGCCATAAAAACTTTACAGCAAAAACAAAAAACAACACAGATAAACAATTGCCACAACAACGACATTGTAATGCTCTATAATAGTTTATGGATATAGATTTCTCTACTTTTGACTTCAGCTCGAATTGAAAATTGTTATGCTCGCTTTTTGATATTTTACATAAATTTTCTCTACGTTTTGTTAAAACTCTCTTCTTGTGTTTTGATATTTTTCATAAATTTTGGAATTCCCTAGTTTAGATTTCCGTTTTAACTCGGGCTTGTAGATTTTGCACGTTGCTTTCGAATATTTAATATATATTTTCTCTAATCGCTTTATAGATTTATCCCGCGTTTAAACTGGATAGCCAAGAATCTAGCTATATATTTTAAATATTGTATTTTCCGCTGAGATCCTTTGAAAATAGCCAAATTTAGCTAGAAATCTACTATTTTGGCTAGCTGAATTGGCCATAACTGTGAACCTTCTACTTTGTACCCTCTACTTTGTATCTTCTACTTTTTACCTTCTACTTTTTACCTTGTACTTTGTACCTTGTACTTTGTACCTTCAACTTTGTTCCTTGTACTTTGTACCTTGTACTTAGTTTTTGACTATTTCATTATGCTTTATATTTATTTTGTACCAAAATTAACTTGATGTATATATAAATATCTGGAAATATGCTTATTAAGCATTGTGTTAAAAAAAACTTATGTATATGTATATATATTTGCCAAAAATTGTAGCTTGTTGAATTTGCAAGCAGCTTGTAAATATGCACTTCCAGCCATAAATTGCCGCAATCAATCTTTTCAGTTTGGCTCGATTTTCATCAGCGCAAACGCCGCTCCCAACTAATTTAGCAGACCAGCAAATATAGTTTTACTGTGGCTTTAAAATTGTATTGGAAATTTGACACCTAGAGTCAATAAATTTAACATGAAGCTCTCCAGCGAACAGCTCAGCTCAGCTCAGCGAGATTTGCTATTGAAGCAGCTGAGAGGGGGGGACAGCTAAATAGGGATAAATATGTATCTGTCACATCAATCAGGGCGCATTTATCATCGAAATGTGACCATATTTCACCAGCTCTGACATGGAAATATTGCTGGCTAACGGTAACAGTATCATGGTGATCATTTTGATGATGGGCCCCATAATACTCGGCATTATAATTGGATACTGCTGGCATGAACGGAGGGTGGCGGGTTGATTGTTGTTGGCGGTTTGTTTTTGTTGCTGTTGCTGTTGTTGTTGTTGTTGTTGTTTATTTTATATGGCATAGTCGCGGCCATCCGTCAGCCCATGAACAGCCCATAGTTGTTGTTCATATCTAATCGGAGCCCATCAACGCCACGTCGC